TCATGTAACCTCTATGTCCCCAGTGGAGTCGCCACTGTAAGGAAGGTGATCCCATCGTAAAGGGGTACTCTCCTTAAATGCCCTTGGCCACTTAAAAGCCTAGGACTTTACACTTGTTAGGGTGTAGTACGATTTGAATTCCTGACTGTTTGGGGGACCTTGAATTAGAATTGATTCTATCATTACGCTTTTTTGTAAGAAACAAGTAGGAGTCGCCAATGAGTTTTAGGAAAAACTCATAAACCTCATTCATGCCTTTCTTCCATGTGGAATTCATGGAATAATTAGCACAAATCATAAGTTTACCCATGCCCAAATTTGTCTGTAAACCAGAAATGAGTTCGGGAGCGAGGGTACTAAAATAACGTTCCTTTTAGAGGGGAATCGTTATGCTAGCCCTAGTACGACCTCTACTAGCTTTTCCTTTTTTACAATTTCATCACCAAACAATATATGCAACGCGATACCTAAAACTATGTTATTTGATTTTATTTACAAGCATTAATTCACGTAGGAATTACATCGTAATGTCGTTATTCTTATTTAATTAAATTCGTGAAAAGGACAAGAAAATAAACAAGATTTGCCTTGGTTTAGGTGATCAACCAACAATTATTTAATTCAATTCTAATCTTTATTTAACGCAAGATACTATGTGGAAATGATTAATTAATTATTTTAAATGCGATCAAACAACACTAATTAATTAATTAAAGTCCTTTTAAACAAGAAAATAAAGGTGATTTAACTAAGTGCTCGGGAATTTACAACTTCTCTTTGCTAGATCTCCGTTTAGAACACTTATGGACTCCTTCTTGTTGGGGAACCCTCCACTGTAGTAACAAGATATCGAAAGGGTGAGTGTTTAGGACAAGAGGGCTAGGTTGCACAAGTTCACAAGTTATTTCGCCAGAGTTTTTTGGTTAATTTATGTCTGTTTAAGCCTCGGTTTAAGCTCGTATTTATAGGGAATGATTAGGTTTAGGGTTTCGAGCATTCTACCGCAGCAGGTGTCGCGCACAACAGAATGAGTTGTGCGCGGCACCCCAGCGCAAGTGATTGAGTTGCGCTGTTATGTGTAGCGCAACTAATTGTCTTGTGCGCGGCTTTATGGTAAGATTCGATTTTATATTTTCCGTATAATTCTGAATAATTCTGAGTTTTCCGCAGCGCAACTCTGGAGGTTGCGCTGGGTGTCGCGCGCAACTAAATTAGTTGCGTGCGGCAACCCAGCGCAACTCTTTGAGATGTGCGCGGCTTTTCCAGCGGCATCACTAAGATTTAACCTAGGCGCTCTTAAATCCGTCATTATTAGGGTTTAAGCACGGGCTTAAGCCTAATTATGATCGGGTTTAGTTATTTGGACCTATTTTTTTGGCTTTTTCTTTAATTTGGGCTAGTCTTTTGTGTTTTGTGGCTTAACCAGTTATCCATAAATATTCTTCACTTTGATCCAACACGAAGATGGTTTTATTTATCGTCATTGCACTTCCTATCGGGACATGAGGCCAAAAGTAGACGTCTACACATATCTTGAAATACTTTTTGTTATAAGAATTGAGTAAAGGCCAATACGGGCGGATGTGACTCCATAACTCACTTTGTACCATCATCCACGGTCCTATTTTCTTACTTCCAAACCACATGGAGTTAGTAATCTTGGATCATGAAAGAGGTATAACCTTCACGGTTCAATCGTTGTTTCCTGTCGTTGTCTCTTTATCGTGGTTGCCTTATAATGATCCGTAAACGGTTTACAAGTTCCTTACAAAACTTGTTGGCGGCTCCTTAATTATTTGTCCCTAATCGTTGTCCCCAATCGTATGTAAAATTTCGCTTCCTATTATTACTAGGCATATTCACAAGATGCTTAAGTAGGCGCGCTTTGAATGACGCCTACAATTTGGCGACTCCACTAGGGAGGATTCTTGGTTAGTTATTTATCAATTTGAGAGATTGGTATTCAATTGAGATAAGTAATGAGACTTATATGATTATTGAATCTTATTCTTTTGATTAATTTGGAATTGTTGTTTATGCATTGACATTTTAACTTCGTATTTAGGTTACCCTCGTACGAAAAATCAAATAACTCGATCGCGATCGAAAAAACAAAGTACTGTTGTGTTATTATAATGCATCGCGCAACGGTAGAATTGGTGTGGTATGACACATAATATCGTGTATGCACCATGGCACCGTAATGCTACGAACATTCTAGTGATTCTGCTTTTCTCATAAATAGCTTCCTTTGTTTTTTCTGAAACCCTTATATGTTCTACATACACTTTAGCTTTAAGAGATTTAAGCTCTATCAATCCAAACACGTTCATGACAATAAAGGTTCATCCGAGTTTTTAAATCCTTCCAAACCATAGAGTCGAGTTCGATTTCATCATGAACTCACGGAGCCGCCCGTTGGCATACACCCTTAAGGGAGGCTTCCTAGCTAATGCGTTCAACTCTTAACCATGGTACCCTTTTGACACCTAAATAAGCTTGACCATAGTGGAACATATAGAACTTGACCTTAGGTTGCAAACTTTATTGCATCATCATGAGTATATGTTACTTGGTATTATTGATGCGTTTTTCTAACCCCAAGTATGGTTGTTCATCTTTTTCTTTTGACTAACGTATGACCGAGGAATTTTATTCCATATAGTAATTAGTACAGACCTTAAAATTAGGCAAAAATTGGAAAACACACAAAAATAACCTATAACTAATTACCGTGCCACAGTAGAAATGCCATGCCATGGCAATTAGTGTCATGTCATGGCAGCATGTACCACACCACGGTGCAGTTTGTCGTGGCATGACAATTTGTTTTAGGAGTAATTCGGATGGTAACCTCCCATACATACTTTCTCTAAAAAAACTTTTCTTTTTGAAAACCTTTATTTTTATTTTTCTATTACTTCTTATTTTCCGGTTAGGTTAAGGTTGAGTCAAGTCATTAAAGATGCATTTGTTTTAATATCGCAACACTTGGCCAAGAAGTAGGGGTAGATTGGTATGACTTGTTTCCATTTGAAGGCTCTCTTTGCAACCATGGCTCTCAAAGGAATAGAGGTGGTTCTCTTCCCTATAGTGTTTCCTCTCTCTTTGAAGAATGCTTGCCAACAGTGGTTCCATTTTGTAGATGCCAAGTACACTGCAGCTTGGGAAGATGTCATCGAGAACTTCATGAGTCGTTAAAAGTACAATATTCAAACCAAGACTTCTAATGTGAGCTCTCCATTCTCAAGCCAAAATAACATGAAGGATTGATTCACTGCCTATTTGAGTAGGTGGAGAAAAACAGATGCATAAATGGTTGAGCCACCAAAAGAGAATGAAATAGTTCGTCTCTTTATCCAGAATCTAACTCACATATATAGATAACATATCAAATTCCTGCCATTGACCACTTTTGAAGCTGTATATGATGTTGGAATTGACATTGAGAATAAGTAAATAAAAACTGCGGGTGGTAGTAATAATGATAACAACAATTGGAAAAACAAGAAGAACAACACTCCTTTATCTTCGTCTTCCAACCATATTAACACTACCAACAATATTAGCCAGTGCAATCTCAATGAAGTACTAGCTCTTAATGTTCCTCTGGCAAATAAAAGGAGAACTTATACTCCTTTGGGAATGACTTATTACGTCGACTTTGATCGTCTCTAAGGCCAGGGCCTGATTACACCCATTAAGCCATTCCCAAAGCCAAAATTTGAGAAAGGATTGCCAAATAGAATCCCAATGCTCACTGCAAGTTCCATCAAGGAAGCGGACACACTACCGCGAGAGCAATGTTGGAATGAAGGATGTTATTCAAGATCTAGTGGATGCCAAAAAAAACATCCCATCTCTCTAGGTGCCAAGAAGTGATAAGCAGTGATAAGACAAGGCGCAAGATGCCCTTCGTGGAAGATTTTGTAATACGGTTTTTTCTCTCTCTATTTTTATCATTCATTTCTCTTTTCCCCCATTTAATAGATTTCTTTTTATGAGTTTGTATATTTTTCTTAGTTTATTCACCCTTTCTTCCATTTAATAAAATAAGCATTTTTTTTTTCATTGTGATTATGTCATTGTTGCATTAAAAAAATAATAAAAAAATCAACCGCCGAACCGAATACAAGGTTGATGGGCGATCTAAGCATGTCGTTAAGTGCTCAAATCTCATCAACAAAATTTGTAAACTCAAATACACCTAGACATAGTATAGAGGTAAGTCGAGGTCGATCCACGAGGAATGGTAGGTCAAGTTCTATAGTATTACAAAGAGATTGAAAAGGTTTGGTGTAGTCTAGGTTTAACAACTAATCAAGAATGAAAGTCAATATCACAAACGCTAGAGATTTAGGATCCACATACACTCACAATAGAAATGCTAACTGGATAGAAGATTGATCAACCATACATTGCAAGGCAAAAAATAGCAATTGCAATCAAAAGAACTCGATAAGTTATTTCCTAGGAGTCAAACTAGTGGTCTTTACGAATGACTAGCTAGGGACATCACAAATCAAGTTCAATCGATAAATGTAATTTCCAAATCAAAGTGTCGTATCAATGGAGAACTACCATGCAATCTAGCTTTAGAATCAAGGTTAGCTACTCCGTAACAAATCAAACACTTGCACAATTTCCATCAACCAATTTAATCACAACATCACATCAATCAAAATCCACCAATTAGCTATGATCTATCATTTATGCATGCTTCACCACATCCCTAGCGAAGAATCTACTCACTACACATTGTGAAGAGAAAGTACAAAACTAAACAAGTCATCACAATCATCATCATCTTTGCAATAAAACCATCAACAATCAAATCAATTAATTAACTTGAAATTCAACAAATTATCAAAATCAATTACAAAGATTAGATTAAAGAGAAGGAAATTCTTACAAACTTTTGATCAAAATCAAAGGAAATGGAGATCAAATGTAGCAATCATTAAATCATCAAGTTTCTCTCCTAGAATCTAAGAAGAAGAATTCCCAAGCGTAAACTTCTCTCTAACAATTTCTCTCTCTAAAAAAATATATTTCTAATTCTAAATCTAAGATAAAATCTCCTCTTTTAAAAAAATAGAAAGAAAATTTGTATATAGTAAAACTAAGGATAAATTAGTTGGACATCCTAAAAAGACCTGTACAGGCGCGCCCTCACTTTGGATTGCGCGGCTGGGAAGAAAAGGGTACGAAACAGGAAGCAAGGGCAGCGCGCTCGCGCCCCTGGAGTATGGCACCCTCCTCGTGCGTTCGTCAATGCAATTTGTGCGCTCTACTTATTAGACATTGGGTATGGCAGTCCCAAATCATGCTGATGGTGGGTTCAACATAACTTTTTTATGCTAGTGCAACATGAGAGCGCAGGCTTGAAAACTTGGAGCTAGCACACCTTTACTTATGAGCTACAAAAGAATGATGACCTTGCATCTTGAGCTTCGTTCATAAAACCCGAGGAAAAAACATGGAGAACCTTGGACACCACCTCTCTCCTAATAACAAAGAAAAACAAACAAACAAAAGAGAAAAAGCAATATAAACTAAGAAAATGCAAGAAAACGGGAAAACAACTAAGAATGAACAAACTAGAGAAATAAAGGCTAAAACTAGAGAAAAAGACATAAAAAAAGCTACAAACGCAACTTAGAATCATCCAAAATGAAGCTAATGGAGTGCCATAAATGACACTCATTAAAGGTATACCAATGATTTGAGACACCCTTTGCAATCTTTCATCCCCCCTTAACCCATTTAAACACATATTCCATTTCTTCACTAACTATTTTGAGCTTTGTCTAACGATTGACCTTTATTTCTTCGACCCACATTTACCTAAACTTGGGATGGAAGATGTGTAATTTTCAAAAAACATGTTTGAAAGAAAAGAAAAAGTAGAAAAAAAAGTAAAAAAAAGATGGCTAAGGATAAGTGTTCCAATGTATTCGATATACATAAGTCTCAAAATGCGTCTCTTATCGAGTGCTTGGTATCATGCCTGAGAAACATGAATGTTAAGTGAGTGATGAACCCCATGATCCCCGATTGTCCAAGTTAATTCAAAAGAATGAATGCAAAAGTACATAAACTTGCAAAAATTCAAATTTCAAAACACGATTGCATATTTGGGGGGCCCTCCCAGATCTTGAGCCTTTTTCCATTCGTCTCCAACCTTTAGCTTAACCACATTAAGGGGGCATTTGGTTGGGGGGTTTCAGGAAACGGAATGGGAATGATTCCGTTTCTTGTCGTTTGTTTTTCCATTTCAATCATTCCCTTTACCCTTTTTTATTTTTCACTTTACCTAAAATCCCTCTAATCTCATTCCCTACCCCCCCCCCCTTGACTTTTGCATTCCCATTCCCCTATTCTTTACCCACTTCTTCATCTCCTCTCTCTGAGCACCCCTCTTCTTCATCTCCTCTCGGCGAGCACCGTCAGCGACCACCACCGTCAGTGACTACCGTCAGCGACCACCGTCAGCGACCACCACCGTCAGCGATCACCGTCAGCTTGTTCAAGGTAAACCCTAACTTCAGAATTCGCTATTTTCGTGTTTGTTGAAGGTAGATGTGATCTTTAGATTTTTTAAATTTCATTATAATACCCACCAGTATATGTGTTGATGTTTTCTTGCAGCGCATTTCCTCTTCCTTGAAATCGACGATAAACTCTTTCTTTCCGATTTAAGGTAACCCACCTCAAAAAATTATTCCAAGTATGAATAATGATTTTTTTCTTCTTCTTTCTTTTATACACTTTGATGCTCTTATGAGCTTATAATTTGCATGAATTGTTGAAATTTTTTATTTACCTGTTTGTGTTCTCCAAATGCTAATCTTGGAGGTGGGGATTTCATGCTATGAAATGTTGATTGCCGTACTTATTGTCATAGTTTTGACCCAATGACTCTAAATTTGCAGATTATTGTCATAGTTTGTTAATGGGTATAGTCTATTTTCTTCGAAATTCCTCCCTTTCTTTAGAATTGCCTCAAATTGTGGGTTTAGCTTCACAATTATAACTTAAAGGTTAAATGGAGTTAAACTGGATTTGAGATCAACTTTTAAGGTTCTTTTATCTCACTGGAGATTCATTGAATTTATGATGCTTTTTGGTGTATTGTTGAGACTTGGTAGAAGGGGTTGTTTTTTGAACAATGTTAATTTTATTCTTATATATATGCAATCCTCTTATGTATATTCTTATGTATATGTCATGTTAATATGGTTCAAATGTAGTATTATGGAAGAAAGTAGTGCAAGTGGAGGTGGAAGGGGGAGAAACAAACGATTTTGGACCGCTCAAGAAGATGAAGTCCTTGTGGAAGCATTGTCAGAGCTAGCTGTAGATCCTCACTGGAGGTGTGAAAATGGATTCAGAAGCGGCTATATGGTTCGCTTGGAGGAGGTCATAGGTAAGGCTCTTCCTGGTTGTGATTTAAAGGCTACACCACACATTGACTCTCGGCTTAAGACACTTGGAGCCAAGTTTAGGGCTATTTCTCAAATGTTAAATACAAGTGGATTCGTTTGGGATGATGAAAAAAATGGTTTCTGTGGACCGGGCTGTTTATGACGAGTTTTGCAAGGTACACCCCCTTTTAAGGTCCTTTTATAGTGAGTAATCTGTTTTTTTTTTTTTTTTGTTGAAATTCATGGATTGTTGATTACATTGGTTGATTGCTATGAGATTATAATTGTTCATTGGAAAATATGCCTAGTCAAATTGAACCAACATTTAGAAATATATGGTTGTTGCATTTGATATGACTGTATGTTGTGTATTTGATGTTGTTGATGAGCATTTTTATGTCTTCCAGAGTCATCCTAATTGCAAAAACTTGTATGGAATTTCTTTCCCCCACTTTCATGAACTCGAGAAAATTTATGGCAAGGACTATGCTACTGGAAAACCAGCTGAAGGTTTTGCTGATGCAGTCAACAACTTGGAAAAAGTTGCCCCTCCACAAGTTACACTTGATTCAAGTGATGATGAGGATGTTCTATGTAGTGGTAATGTCACTCAAACTGTTACCTCTCCTCCTTATAAAAAGATCAAGACTGAAAACACTACAAAAAAAAGTAAGAGAGGAAGTGGTGGTGCCGGAAGTTCTAATGAGCTCGCTAGCTTACAAGCATTTATGAAAGACATGAATGTTCATCTTTCCACTATGGCTACTGTGATGGCACGCACTGATGATCGTGAACAACGTGCGGATGAAAGAGAGCAAAAATTAGTTGAAAAGAGTGAACAAGTGCTAGAGGAACTACTCTCTTTTAATCTTGAAGGTGTCACTCCTACCCAAGTTTTTGAAGTGGCTAACATTCTAACCGCACAACCTAACAAGTTCATGATATTTTCAAAGTGTCCGGATGCTTTGAAAGGTGCTTATGTTAAGAGTCTTCTTGGAGGAAGCGGTGATGGTAGTGCCTAATAAATTTTATGTTATGGTTTTATGTATGGTTTTGTATTAGGAAGGATTATTGGCAAAGACTTTGGTTGAATGTCAATCTTATTAGAATACTTTTGGTATGAACTTTTATCTATGAACAAGTACTTTGTAATCAATGGAGCATGAAAAATGTTATTTATAGTTTCTTTTTATAATGTCTTTATAGTTTTTTTTGCTTAACTTTTTCATAACAAGGTCTTCAAGTATTAATTCATGATTTCACAGGTTTATCATATAATACAGGAATTTAAAAAATGACAATTTCATTCCCTGGCTTGAACCAAACAGTCACAAAGGGAATCAATGAACAGTTCATTCCGTTTCCTGGATACACCCAAACAACCAGGCTAAATCAGGGTCAACCCATTCCTTTCTCCTGCATTCCCTGGATTCATTCCATTCCGATTCCCCTGCGCGAACCAAACGCCCCCTAAAACCCTTGAAAGACTTCTTTGAGGTGTACATACACTTGTGCAAAGTTTGATTAGAGCTATGGTCGGCCTGATTCCAAACAGATGGGTAGGAAACCTCATATCGAGGTGCGACCATATTCATAGCTATACACGGTCGATTTTAAGGATGCCTGAAGCCCATCTCTATCCATCTAGAGTTAGGCTTGGGGGCTTGATAGGCCGTCGTCGAGCCTACCAAAGATAAAAAACCTAACTTGGTCTCTCTAATGGGTAGAAAGGGCAAGTAAGGGTCGATCCCACAAGGACTAAGGGGAGCACTAACAAGTATCGATTTGTGATAAGCTAAGTCAAGTCTTTTTGGGTTTTGAGTTATAAAGAAACACTACAAACAATAATAAACAGGATATTGGGAAGGTATCCACTAATCAAGTCATTCACAAACTACAATTTAACATACAAAACATAGTAATTTGGGGAAAAATTAGGGGAAGTCATCTAAGACACCCAACTACTCTCTCAAGCTAGAGAGATTTTTTGAGTCATGAATACAACCTACTCTCGTGATTACAAAGCATAAAACAAGTGTTAAAGCATAATCACGATGACATAAACATTCCCTTGACTGGAAATTCCTATTTTCATGGCATTTCAAGTCAATTAAGCATAAGGGAGCTAACTCAAGTTCATCTCTCGATCCTTCGCTGAGAAAGCTTAGATAAATAGTTCTAGCATTGGCCACTTACAAGAACTAAAAATGAAACCACTTAAGCTCAACTGATTAACATCCCACATTAGCTAAATAAATACATGCAAACAAGTATTTGTGAATTCATCAACGGTTTCAACCATCCCAAGTAAAAGAACCACTCACAAATCATAATAAATTGCAAAACTAAATGAATAACTAACAACTAAGAACATGAAATCAAACATTAATTTAACATAAACAAGTAACAAAACAAGAAAAGATATAAAAATAAGCAATTAAATAAATAAAATAAGAGAGGGAATAAGATATTCTCATTGATAATGCAAGAAATAATCAAATCTTCAAGTCTCCTTCCTTCAATTCTTCATATTCCAAGCTTTCAACAAGTTTTTCCCACTTTCTCTCTCTAAAAACCTAACCTAAGCTAAAACTACACTAAGAAGAACCCCCCTTTACAAATGAAGCCAAAGGGGTATTATATTACCCCCAAGTAAAAGGACGGAGAACACGAGAAAACGACCCGTCTACAGGTCGGCACGGACGTGCCAAAGGTTGGACGTACGTGCAGACCTGTTAAAATAAGAGCAGTAGCTACTGCCTGTCCTTGCATGGACATGCTTCATTTGGCACGAACGTGCAACCTTTTTCTAGCGAAACAACTTATTTTTCGAAGGTCATAAATTCTTCGTTACTCAGTGGAATAAGGCATGTGACCAGTCGCTGGAAAGATCTTGAGATGAAAGTTAATCTCCAATTTGAATCACTTCGAAATGTTGAGTGTAACTAAAGTTATGGTCAGTTTTAGTTGACCTTAGTGCAAAAATATTTAAGGCACTCATCCTTCTTCCTCCATTGCTCTATCAACCAAGATCGCCCTTCTCCTTGTTCACTCATGCTTGATCACGTCCATATATAGTGCTAAAAATAGCTACATTACATTAAAAACCCAAACAACCCGTGAAACCCGTGAAGCATGGATGGTACAAATTTTGTATAAAAATAGGATAAATAATGAACTTTGATGTCGAATAATCACGAAAACATGGTTCAAAAGTACCCTAAAATCATACCAAATAACAAGTTATCAAATCCCCCTAAGCTAAACTTTTGCTAGTCCTCGAGAAAAACAAACATGTCAAATCAAGAAGGAAGATAAATTGCTAATGATCAAACCAAGGAGCGTTAATAAAGGGGAAACACAAAAACACAAATTCTCATGGTAACTGTAACACCCCGTCTAAAACATAAGGCATGACGTTCGCGGAAATAACGTCAAGACGGGAATGTCACTCAAAAGGTTACCAAAAAAAAAAAAAGACAATGATTACAATATCTGAGACAAATAAAATAAAGTGAAAGAAATCCCAAATGAACAATAAACACTTCCAATGAGGGAAAACAACCTCAAATCTGATAATCCCAAAAGAGAAGGTCCAAAGAAACTAAAGCACGTCTATAAAACTGCTAAGGAATAAAGTAAACACTCAGCTCTCAGCCCAGACTTAACAGGAACTACTCTTCATCTGCAAATAACATTAAGGTTCCACAATCAGTGGGAAGTAACTAGCAGTTCTCCCAGTACTTGTAGAAATACAAAGCTAAGTACAGAAAAGCTTAGACACTAGCACAAAACTTAACAACATGTAGGAACATCAACTCAGATAATATTTATCAGTTAAACTCGAGGGAAAAATAAATAACTAAATAAATAAATAAAACATGGAATCATGATTATAATACAGATCAAGCATGTATATATAACAACGTAAGAAAAAATAATATTACCACAAGAATTCATAATTGAATATAGTAACTCAAAACAAATAGTAACTCATATAGGCGATAATTAACACTTGTAAAGGTCCCTTCCCAAAACAATAGTATCTTTAAAATAAATAAATTTTAACCCTTTTGAAAATAAGATTTATAGTGAGGCAAGCATATAAAATATGAACGCCGGTGAAATCCGCATCCCACCATCAAAGGTTTGTCAGGGCGAACATACAGACGATTCCGCAGCCGTCTGCGTCTGAGAATGGCCAAACTCCCAGTTTTCCTACTCGAATTCCGCAGCCCGAGTAGTTCCGGACGACAACAATTAACCTAGAAAATACATCTTGAATTCCGCAGCCCAAGATGTTGGCATGTTCTACCCATTGAATTCCGCAGCCCAAGATGTTGGCATGTTCCACCCATTGAATTCCGCAGCCCAATGGTTGTCTTACACTCACAAAAATATATAAAATTTATAAACATACTTCTTAAAAATCATTTAAACACATTTAGGGATCATCAATCCCAATTTAAAGTAACTGCAGGTCTTTACTTCTAAGACCAAAATTCAATATAAATTCTTCAAAAGAGTTTAACTTCAAAATTCTTCAAAATATAAAATAACCCATATATCATACTAAGGTGTCACTCTTATTGTCTGGATTTGGGTACGAAGCTAATTATAACAAAATATCACAATACACTTCGTACACAACCCTTGGCGAAGCGGTGCTAAAAACAGTGTTATTCTACTTTAAAGCACAAAAACGTCGACAACTTATTTGACACTTTAAAACCATTTTTAAAACTCCATAGACACTCACAGTTTAAATCAACATTGCTCCTCGTTCATAATTTCCATCATTAAACCAATTCATTTAAATACATGGTAAATTACTCAACTTCATACCACATAATAGAAGATAGAATAATATATAAATATAATAAAAAAATAAATTACTTAGAACACAATTATAACACTCCAATCAATTAACTAAACATGAAAAAAAAACAAAATTTTCTCAAACAACTTAATACGGAACCAAAAGCATTCGCTCACAACCAAACATGTACAACCATTACTATCTCTGCTCAATTAAAATATATATAATCAAATGCTATTAGCTAAAAAAAATAAAGTCAGTCTAAACATGAAAATTAGGCACGTGATCATGACAATACACATGTATTCGTAGTAGCAACGATAACATGGTGCAGGAACAAATCAATTATATATAACTATAAATCAAAGTAAAGTAAGACTAACATTGAACTGCTTAAAAGAAACAACATTAGCTCCGGGAACTAAAACGAGTCAACAAGGCCATAACAGTTAATTATATTTCACGCATGAATGATCCAAAATAAAAAAAAAATGGCAGCAGCTACAAACTTGAACCAAAAGCACACAATAACCGTGCCCACAATCGAAAGAAATCAAGACCAAGCCAACTCCATTCAAGTCAATTTCCTTTGCATAATTAAACATGATCAAAACCCCAATAATAGACACGATAATGTAAATAAAAACATGACCACAAGCAGCCATATCACACGCAAAATACACCACCAAAACAGATTATTAAAAGTTTATTAGAAATTGCAACCGAAAACCCGAATAATCCTAGACGCATCTGATCTTATCTTAACCCAACTATGATTTCTAGAGTAATGGAATAATGCTAGTTACCTCGATAAACTTCCGATAACACCCACGAAACTAGAAGAACTCAAAAAGAACTAGTCCTCTTGATGACCTTGAATACCTATATAAAACAATGATTGAATTAAGAAGACGTATGTATAACAAACCATACAAGAGGGGGACGAAAAAGGGGAGGGTTTAACCCATTAAACTTACTTATTTTCACAGCCAAATTAAGAGGGAAAATAAGATGATCCTTGCAACAATAAAACCCAGCAACAATCCCACAAAATAATTGAGGAAGAAGGAGATGTGTTATGGAGGTGAAAGATGGAAGAGTGCAAATTCTTTTGTGAATGATTGCCACGGTAAATGGGAAAATAAACTGATGAATTTTTGCTTAATGAGGGCAGCAAATATGATGGGTTTGGGAGTTATAAGAGGCAAGAGAATATGAATTGGAGGCAAGAATCAAGGGGAGCATTAACCAATTGGCAACTAAAAAGTCAATGAAAGAATCCTATAATTATCTTTCAAAATCAATCCAAATACTTGTATACTACTCAAATCCCACGCCAAATCAGCCCAACACCTC